CCTCAGCGCGGAAGGCCCCTGCCACCCCTCCCCAGCGCTCTCGCGGCCGGAACCCACCCCCCACGGCGTGCTCCCGCTACCGGCCCTCGCCCCCTTCTCCCTCTGGGTGTTCTTACGGCTTCCCCCTACCCCTCCCCTCCCCGGGATGCCCCTGCAGTTCCCCCGCCCCGGCTGCTCCCGCAGTCTGCAGCCCCCGCCGGGATGCGCTCACGGCCGCTCCCCGCTCGCCGGTTAGCACCGCATCTCGGGGGCGCCGGACAGCGGGACCCCACCTCGATTCCCTGCCCTCGACGGGGGAGATGCCGGAGAGTCCCCCGGGGATGCCCTGTGCAGCAGAGGGGATCCCTCCTCTCTGGCCTTCCCGTGCTTCTGCAGAGCCGGGGGGGTCCCCGGGGACTCAGCCCGATCAGACATGGAGCGAACTCCTCCCGAACCCCTAGGCATTCGCAGCCCCCCGGCCCGGTGCCGCCAAAGATGCACTCATTTGGGGGCTGCTGCAGGTGGTATGGGCTTCCCTGATGCGCAGAACCCTCCGTGCCTGATGCTTTTGAAGGTGGCAGTTTTGTGTCTGAGGTTCCCTGTACACCTGAAGAAAAAAGCATTAAAGTACCGTCAAATGGAGTAAGGTAATAGCCGAGGAGACAAAGCCTCCTTTCATGCCCTGATCCTTTCTGTCTCTTTTTAATAAACAAGTGCTCTTCCCCTGCAGTGGTTTCCAGGAGGAGTCAGTTTAATCTCCAAAAAAGTGGCTTATTCGGGTTTATTTTCAAAGCTGATCCTAAAGTATCTGCACTCCCAAAGCCTTGCTGCCCACCCCCTGTAATATGGAAGGGATCTGAGATAATTAATTAGCTGCAGAGGATTTCATATTTGTTGTCACACTGGATTCTGCGCTGAGCAAGAGCCGCCATGGTGCCACCTCACTGGAGGTGGCTCAGAGGCAGCGTTCAGCCCTGTGCAAGGACACACAGCCATGCCCACACCGCAGTGGTGACCAAGGGAAAGGGACAGCCCCACCCCAGCAGCTTCACCACCTCAGGTAAACCCCCAAAGTGGTGAGGCAGGCCTTGGAGCCAGCAGGCAGAGTGGGAGAGCAGATGGTAGGATCAGGGTTTGCTCTCCATATAACATAATGCAGCCAGAATCATTAGGGAAAAAATGGAAAGAGAGTAGGGATGCTGCACTCAGGCACAGGGCGCAGCAGGGTTCAGGGAGCATTCCTTGTGTGCATTTTGGACACACGGACAGCACAAAGCTGCAGGGCCAGGGAGGCACCAACTGGGACATGGCCAGTGGATGGCTCTGCATGCCTGGAGAAGAACACAGGTGGAGGGAGAGAAGGGCAGAAGTGCTTCTCATGACAGGGAGGACAGGATGCTTCAGGAAGTCACCTGGCTTCTCTCTGCTTTTGACACACATCTCTGTGGAAATGCCCCATATCGTAATGCTTTGTCCAGACAGCAGCACGGCCCCTGCCTGTGGGAGTAGGAAATACCAGATGCAATTGTTTGATCCAGACCCCACTCTGCCCTGCACCTCATGGAAGAGATGGTTGAATGCCCAGGCATTTGATCCCCGTCTCTTTCTTCTTCACTGGCTGTAATCCCAATGGGACCACAGTGGTTCTACAGATGAAGGAAATTCAGCACAAGAGACCTGTGAGGCCTATGGGGCAGTTTTTAAAAGTGAGGTTTTTCTGCATCTGGGGCATTTTGGAGACTGGGACATACGGCTTTATGAAAAGGCACTGCACATGCATCCTTTCAGCAGTATTTTTCCTGGTTGTTGTGAAGACGACCAGCCACCATCTCCAGAGATGCTTGCCATTCTGTTATCATTTGAGAAACAATTTAGGATTAAATTCTTTCCTCGCTTCTTCTGGAAAATCATGCTCTTCTAGAAATCCTCAGGCATTTTGACTTATGACATGAATAAGGCAAGGCCTTGGGTGTAGGCACCAACACAATCTCAACTGTGGTTCTGACAGGATGAAGCCTGAATAATACTCCCATCCCTGTTTTTCTCTGTCTGCATCACCAGCTATCACATCTTGGTGCCCTCTTCGGCTCCTCATTTTGTCTCAGAGGCAGATTTCTCCAGCTTCATCACCACGGTTGTTAGCTGTCATCATCTCTGCTTAGTCTTAAGGCTGGCACATTTCTTTCAGATTTTCATTCTGCTTATGGTCAAAATTGTGGCATACATAAAAATACTTGCCAGCTGCCTCTCTCTACTGCAAAATCCACTGCCTCTTTCAGTAAAGAGGTTCTGTGTCTGTCATCAACCAGCACCCAGACTTTTCTGCTCCACCTCAGTGCAACTGCTCTTTAAAGTTTGTGTCTCTGACTCATCCAGACCCCTTCTTTTCTGTTTTGTTTTTTGTGTGTGTGTTTTTTTTTTTCCTTCATCTTTCCTATTTTCTCTTTGTCAGCCAGAAAAATCCGTTTGTTCTGCATTCAGGCACAAACTGGGATCCCCCATGAAGAGCCACAGTTTCAGAACACAACTGTTTCATCCTCCCAGCTGCTTTAATTTCATCAAAGCCCATCTGTCCCCTACCTTGCTGCTGCAAAACCCCCATCATGTTTGCTACCCTAAAAGACAGAGGGAACATCCGAGCTCAGCACAGGTTCCACCTTTCCTGCCACATCCCAAACCCTGCTACTTCTCAGGGATGTCTGCGGAGCAAAGCACTGCCCTGGGCTCTGTCCCACTCTGCAAAAGGAGCTTCTGGCACAAAGATCCCAGCTCAGTGACAGATGCCACAGAACACAGCATCCCAAGGGCAAAATCCTTCCCTGTCTCAGGGAACCCTGCAGATCCTCTGCCAGATGTTGACCCCAACAGCATAGGCAGGCGGGTTGCATATCCTCAACATCTTACACATTAATTGAAATTAATTGTTAATTGTTCCAGCAGATCCACTGTGCGTAAATCCTGTCAAAGACAGGGGGCTTTTGGTGGAATGAGGAACAGACCATGGAAGGCTCTTCCACTCCACGCCTCTCTGTGTGAGCTGGTGTTGGCCTGCACAGGGCTGTGCTCAGCTCTTTCCTGCTTCAGGCAAGCCTCAGAAGCATGCATGCATTGCAAGCATGTCCCTCCGTCTCCCCACCCTTCTCCCAGCACGAGGTCTGTCTAAGTCCCCTCTATTTACCCTATAGCTCTGATGGTGAAAAGGCAGCAGGCTCCGGAGACACTCACCCACACCCCAGCCCCTTAAGGGAACAGCTTTCTCCCCTGTAACAGTCAGATGTTTTACAGAGGCTTGGAAACATGCCTGAACACCAAATCCATTGGTGTCCATTTTTTTCGCACCTCAAGCTCTCCTTTGCAAGAATTCAGCCTACTCATCCTGGGACAGTCATGAAATCCATGGTAGAAAGACTTACTTCTCTCTCGGCACATAGCTAGCAATCAAAGGGAGAAAGACCCTACAAAAGTGAAGAACTAGCCAGTTTCTTGCTCATGATAGAAAAGCTATCAGGGTTACCTCCAGCCCTTTTATGGCATATTAACCTAGGAGCAAAGAAGAAAAAAGACACACATCTTTCAAGGAAATGTGTGCCTCTTTTATCTGCTGCCCTCCCCAGGAAACTCATTCTCTCCTTGTCCACCCACATAAGCAGAAATGATGAATGGAAATAAAATATAAAGTTTAGCCATTCTCTTTAATCCTAGACTTCCCAATTGGATGATTTGGTCCATGCCTTGGTATCCAAATTTTGCACGCCAGTCATTCTGACCATTGTCCATGCGGCCTTGGCTCACAGTGCCTTTCAAATGCCTTTGTGTGTTAGATGCATACACCATACCCAAAGCATTTAGCAGCAGCCCAGCCTTGAAGGGTTTCACACTCCTCAAGGCAGAGGGGAGCCTGCCACAGAAAAGCCACTGCCACATCACTTCTCCCACACTGGAGTGCATTTTTTGGCTGTTTCTGCAGCCCCCAGCCTCCAGGCCATCAGCCACAAGTATCAGTGCAAGAGCCTGCTCCATCCCAGAGATTCCCAAGGACTGGATCTCCCTCTGGCTGCCCTGACTGTTCTCACTTTCCTTTTCTCTGCAGACCCCCCTTACACTCACCTCAGTGTTAAACAACTGTTGCAGTTAGGCCAGTACATCAGGTACCTCTGCACACCTCTGAGTTCCCAAGGCCTGTGGCAAACCAAGCTGTGTCATGGCTCCTTTGGCCTGGGGATCCTAATTGGTAAGAGAAAATTGAGCCATTGCCTGTCTTTAGTTCCAGAAGGTTTTAGAAAATCCATCATCAAAGTTGAACTGAAGAATTGAAAATAGCACTTCAATTGAAAATAGCACTTCTTAAAGTCCATTTGTGTGTTCCTACACGCATCTCCTGGCCACGTCAGCCAGCATCTGAAAGAAACATAAGGAATTATTAAGAAGACAAACAATTAAAAGAAAAATCTCCAAATCACCATTAAAAGTGAGTTAAGATTTTTGTCAGAAATGCAGCTGTTCTTGTCACCTTTGTCAGAGAATGCCGCTTTTGAGCGCCAGAGCCTAGGAGCTCTGCAGCTGCCATGCAAACACAGGGAGCTGGGCTCAGGCCGGGGGTGCGGGTGAAGGGCTGGATGCCATCCAGGCAGCAGGTCTGGGTCTGAAAGAGAAGAGGGATGGCTCGCTCTGTTGCAGTGAGCTGGGGGTCGGCCTTTTATCTCGTGCGACTGGTGATAGGACGAGAGGGAATGGCTTCAAGCTGCGCCAGGGGAGATTCAGGCTGGATGTTAGGAAATGCTACTTCTCTGAAAGAGTGGTCAGGCACTGGAATGGGCTGCCCAGGGAATCACTGACCCTAGGGGTGTTCAAGGAACATTTGGAAGTTGTGTTGAGGGATGTGGTTTACTAAGAACTATTGGTAATAGGTGGATGGTTCGACTGGGTGATCCTGTGAGTCTTTTCCAACCTTGGTGATTCCATGATTCTATGATTCTAAGGTTAAAGTGAAAGTGTGGTCTTGAGGTGATGCTGGCGAGTTGGAAACTGAGGCCTCCACTGAAAGTCTGGTGAAAGCATTTGCATTCAAACAAGCTTCCTGTACTGCAAAATGTGTCACAGAGGTGACCTGGGCAGCTCAGAACCTCTGGCTGAGAGCAGAGGGTTGTGACCAGATTCAGGAAAATGTTTCCCCCCTCCCACTTTTACCTGTTTCGTGTATTTCCATGTAAAAATACACTGGACGCTATATACCTTGTCACATGAAGGGGAAATACAGAGAAGGACTTGAGTGCCACTGGAATAAGAGAGACAGAGAAGGATCCTGTCTGACTGTGCCTTCGATTCCCTGTTTATATGTTGTCTGCTACCGTTTAAGAGAGCACCTTTGGATGACTTCAGGTCAGGAGGTTCAGGAGACCATTTCTGCAACAAGAAGTTAATGCTGACAGGCACCCCATGGCTGGAGAACACCCTCAATATAGCAGAATTGGCACCTTGTTTAATGGATTCATATAAATAGGAAGGCAAAGCCAGGAGCTGAGGCAGCATTTAAGCCCTGTACTGTGAGGTACAGAGGCCTTACGGCGAGATTAAATATAGGTCTCACAAACCAGAACAACAGTGTTTTTACCAAGAAGATAATCAAGCCCTGGAGGAAATTACATGATGTAAAGCTCAGATTTAAAATAAATGTGAAATGAGTTGGTGGATTTGGGACCAGTTCCTTATGGAAAAGTTTTCGCATCAGAAAAACCACTGACGACACTGGCTTTTTAATTAGCAGTTTTGGAATAAAGCCAAGAGGACTGAAGGGATGGTGGAGACTCAGTCCTCATCTTGCCCTTTGCAAGGAGGGCTGGGGGCAATGAAGGGCCGGGATTAGGAGAGGGCTGGGCTGTGCACATGCTGCATGTTGGAAGCAGGAGACTCTGAAGATGAGACCTGGGTGTTCCCATTGCAACTCCCCATGGGCACGCATTTTCCTAGGAAGATCCTGTACCTCTGAGAACAACATGGCAGTGAGTGCTGAATCAAAACGAGAAAACAACAGGCCACGCAGGGACGCAGGCTGTGATTGCACAGAGGGAGCAGCCTGTGCAGCATTTGGCTGACGCCAAGTCAAGGAGATGGGTGTGGGATGAAGGCCCTGTCCTGAGCCAGCTGCTGCAAACATTTGCCCTGGCTGAATTGTCTGTTGCCCTTGCATGACTCTCTTTTAGTCTACTTTGTCACTAAGAATTTTTAGTGGATGACTCGAAACGGTCCCACATCCCTTGGTCCCTATGAACTGCTCGCTGCACTGCTGTTGCTCTGCCAGCTCCTCAGTCCCACCTCCTCCCTGCAGGACAGGTTTCAGTGGAGCTCAGGGTTCTTGCATGCTGATCTCTCATCATGTACCTACACGTGTCCCCTGGGACCAGCCCTCTGAGGGCTATAGGCAATTGGTAACAAGTTCCTAAATACAAAATCTCCCTTGTGTGACACTCGGCAAGAGAGGCTGGAGCCTAACACAGGGGCATGACACAGCCACTGTCCTCACCAAGCACTCCTGCAGCCAGTTCAAAGGATACTAATTAAAAAATAAAGACTGAGGTTTTTTTTCCTTCTCCTCCAGATTTCTTTTCTTTCTTCATATCAGACTGCAATCCTGTACTTTGTGGTTTAACTGTGTTCTTACATCTCCTTTTCCCAGTGAGTTAATGCAAATGATTTTGTGCCAAGGTGGATCTGTGCTAAGCTTGACAGCAAAACACACGGCTCGAGGCACATGCGCTCCCACTTCCCTCGGGAGTGATGGGTTGAATCAGCCCCCTAAACCCCTCCAAGCATCGTTTCAATTTTCAGCTCAGTTTTCATCTCCCTCCCCTCCTTGCCAAGCCCGCACAAGAGCGGTGGGAGGTTACAAACAGAGAACGCAGCTCATCTGCGGCATCTAGCCGGTGTGAGCCATGGGCGCGCGCATGCGCACACAGCACCCTCCCTCCACAGGCGCTCCACGGCTCTGCCGCGGATCCGCGCTGCGGTCGTCACGGGTCTTTCCCGCTCTGCAGCTCCCTCCTTAGCTCTGCCCTGAGCGCCTCCCGGCTGGCGCTGGGGAGGCCGGCAGCAGCACACGTGTCTGAGCTGAGATTAACCCTGCAAAGCCAGGGACAAGGATTGCTATTTCCTCATCCAAAATTCATCACCTGGAAAGGCTGCCAGGCCAATTCTGCAAAACAAAGGCTTCGGTGGGAATCTCCGCTCTTTGCAGAAGCGGTGAGGTACAGAGCTCACCCCGGCTTACCTGAGCCACCGGTGTCCGCCCTCAGCGCTTGCTCGGTCCCGTCACGAAATGGCATCACACATTCAGGTGGGGTGGCTCAGGGACACGGGGGCTGGCAGGAAGGATGAAGGAATGTCATTTCATTTCGTCTGGAGAAGGGGAGGCAGAGGGCTGAGTTAACGGCGGTCTAAACAACCACCCGGAGGGCACGGAGAGAGAAACTCCTCCTCGAATACAGCGGGAGACAAAGGCCCCGTCCTGCAGCTCGGCACAGTCGGCCCGACAGCCGGGAAACGCTCCTTCCGTGACGCGGCCCGGCCCTGGAGAGGCCCCGCCGCGCCTCCACCCGCGGGCTCAACGCGCACGAGCGCGAGGTGCGGCCTCCCCGCGAGGCGCGGCCGTGCGGGGCGGGGCGCTTCGGCCGCGGCTCCTGCTGTCCGGCGCAGAGCGCTGCCGCGTCCCGATCTCTGGGCCCGCACCGCCGCGAGCGCGGCTCGGCCCCGACCCGAGGCCTCCGCGGCGGCCCTCCCGCGCCCGCCCGTCCCCGCCAGGTGGCAGCAGTGGCCGCGTCGAGCCCCGCGCCGGCCGTAGGCCCGGCCGCTCCCGCGGGATCCTGTGGAGGGGCCGCTCTGCGCCGGGCGCTCCGCCGTCGCTGAGAGCCGAGCGGGCCACTGGGAGCGCCGTCCTAATGAGAGAGAATAAAAGGAGAGAAGCGGCTCGTGCGTAAAGCCGAAGTCCCTCGCGTGCTCCCCGTGTTTGTGCGGGTGGATTTTCCCACGGTCAAAGCAGATCCGGCCCCCCGTTCTACTCGGCAGGGCCGCGCCGAGCCCCCCGCCCTGCCGGCTCCCGGCCGGGCTCAGCAGAAGCCGGGCGCGCCGCAGCCCGCGGGCTGTGCCGGAGCGACCACGGAACCTCTCCCGTCTCGTAAAGCCTTCTGATAGGAAGGGGGTATTTCCGACATCGCGGCCCCTGACCTGCTCCGTTCAAACCTTGCAGGGTCAGAGCACCGCGTCTTCCTGCCCGTACAGCCCTGCGGGATTTGCAGAGTGAAGCAGTTCATTGAATGTGGTTACTGTGAGGCCGTTTGTGTCTGCTGCACACCTACGCTGGACTTTATCTCATCACACCAGGGCTGATCTGAGATTCCATTTTAGCGATTTTCTAAAACATTCCAGCCACCAGTATACTCAGCTGTAAACCAAAAAACCAGCATGGCTTCACTAAGGGCAGGACCTGCCTGATCAACCTAATGACCTTTCACGATGCCATAACTGCATCAGCAGACAAGGGAAGAGCCACTGATGTCAACTCTCCAGATTTCAGAAAGGCCTTTAGTGCTGTCCCCCACACCATCTTTCTCTACAGACTGGAAAGGTATGGATTTGATGGGTGGACTGATCGATGGATGAAGCACAAGTTGTGAGATTGTACCCAGAGAGAAGTGGTCAATGGCTCCATGTTTGGGTGGAGGCCAGGGACAAGTGGTGGCCCTTAGGGATCAGTGCTGGGACCGATGCTCTCCAATGTCTTCATCAGTGACACCGATTGGGGTCAAATGCTCCCTGAGCCGTCTGCAGGTGACACCAAGCTGTGAAGGGACACACCGAGGGACGGGATGCCATTCAGAGAGACCCAGACTGAGCAGTGGGCCCAGGAGAATGTCGTGAGGTTCAACAAAGCCAAGCACACAGTCTGGCACCTGGACCGTGGCCACCGCCGCTGTCGGTGCAAGCTGGGGGGTGACGGGATGGAGCACAGCCCTGCCAAAAAGGACTTGGGGTGCTGCTGGGTGGCAGCTGGACGTGAGCCAGCGCTGTGCCCTCGTAGCCCAGAGAGCAAACCGTACCCTGGGTGCACCCAAAGCAGCACGGCCAGCAGGGTGGTGAAGGGGATCTGCTCCTCTGCTCTGTGCTATGAGACCTCACCTGGAGTGCTGCATCCGGACAGGGCGTGCTCAGCACAGGAGAGACGTGGAGCGGTTGGGGTGTGTGCAGAGGAGGGCCCAAAAATGCTCCCAGGGATGGAACAACTCCCTGTGAGGATGGGCTGAGAGAGCTGGGGCTGTGCAGATGGAGAAGGGAAGGCTCTGAGAGAGCTGGGAGAAGCCTTTCAGTATGCAAAAGAAGGGAGAAAGAAGGGGACAGACTCTTTACTAGGGTCTGTTGTGGTAGGAGAAGGGAAAACCATTGCAAACCAAAAAAGGGAAGATTTAGGTTGGATATAATGAAAAAGTTTTTTACAATAAGGGCAGTGAAGCACTGGCACAGGGTATCCAGAGAGGTTCATCAGTGACCTGAATGAAGGAATAGAGTTCACTCTCAGCAAGTTTGCTGATGGTACAAAGCTGGGGGGAGTGGCTGACACAGCTGAAGGCTCTGCTGCCATTCGGCAAGACCTGGACAGACTGGAGAGCTGAGCAGGGAGGAACCTGACCAGGTTTAACGAGAGCAAGTATGGAGTCTTGCACCTGGGGAGGAATAACTGCATGCATCAGTACAGGCTGGGTGATGACCTGCTGAGGTGGAGCTTTGCTGAGAAGGTTGTTCTGGTGGTGTTCTGGTGGCCAACAGGTTGGCCATGAGCCAGTAGTGAGCCCCTGTGGCCAAGAAGGCCAGTGATATTCTGGGATGCATTAAAAACAATGTGGCCAACAGGTCAAGGGAGATGATCCTCCTGCCCTATTCTGCCCTCATGAGGCTGCGTTTAGACTACTGTGCTCAGTTCTGGGTTCCCCAGTTCAAAATAGACAGGATCTCCTAGAAGGAGTCCAGCAGAGGGTCACAAAGATGATGACAGCCTGGAGTATCTCCATAACGAGGAAAGGCTGAGTAGCCTGGGTCTGTTATCTGGGGAAGACTGAGGAGGGATCTGGTTAATATTCATAAAGGGAGATGGGAAGCAAATGGATGAAGCCAGGCTCTTCTCGTGTAACAACAGGACAAGGAGCTCTGCCCTAAAACTTGATCATAGAGAGTTCCATACAAACATGTGGAAGAACTTCTTCGCGGTAAGGGTAACTGAGCACTGGAACAGGTTGCCCAAGAAGGCTGTGGAGTCTCCTCTCTGTGGATATTCAAGACCTGTCTGGACACCTACTTGTGTGACCTGTTGTAAGGAACCTGCTTTAGCAGGGGGTTGGACTCAATGATCTCTAGAGGTCTCTTCCAACCCCTGCAGTTCTGTGATTCTGTGATGGATGCCCCATCCCTGGAGACACCCAAGGGGTGGGACTCTGAGCATCTGATCAAGTTGCAGGTGTCTCTGTTCATGGCAGGGGAGTGGACTAGATGACCTTTAAGAGTCTGTTTCAATTCAAATAATTCTATGATCCTGTGATTCTATGAAAAAAAAACAAACTATCCTCTGTACATGGACACACTGTGAGATGCTGCAATCACCCTAACGGTCCCTGGAGAGGGAGAAGAAAGACTCGTGCTGTGCAGCGATTGTACTTCTCATTGGCTCCTGGTGCTTCCTGGTGGCAGGATTTAGTAGGGCTATGAATTTGCTATGGATTTGCTGTGCTTAGTGGGACTGGAAGATCCAAAGCATATAATATGGCCAACAGACATTGTTGGAGCCCATGCTTGATCCAAACATGCTTGTAGTGCTTGGTGAGCAGCCAGAGCAGAGAGCTGCTGTTACCCTTATGGAACTGATGCCCAGAAGTGTTCCTCTGTGTTACACCAGTACATCCCAGCACATGCCATCCTCTCTGATGGCTCTGTACCCCAATGAGACACATGGGAATTGTTTCATAAGATTGAAGCTGTTTCCCAGCAGACAACCAATCTGCACAGACCCTGCAGCCTCTCTTGCACTGTGCGAAACAAAGCATTGGAGGTGTCAGAACCTTTACGTGTTTTTTGCCACAGCATCTTGTGGAGACAAGTAAAGGAATGCTGCCTCTGTAGGTTATGGCCCGGGAAAGTCTAAATGTTACATTTCTTTAGGAAGATCCCAAAACTGGGGCAACATCCTCAAGCTTTTACCCTCTGCTGTGCCATGGTGAGTGGACTTCCCAGGTTTCCAAAACCTAGCCTGGTCTCAGAGAGACCTGCCAGCTCCCGGGGTCACAGCAGTGCTGCAGGAGGACATCCCAAAAGTGGATCTGAAAGAGACGAAGGCAAGCATTACATAATTAATAAATAAAAGGAACTATGTTAAAAAATTGAAGGGACTGTCATTTTCTTCCTACAGTGCAGTGTAACTTAATGCATCCCATGGGAAGCAACTTGTTCACAAGGAAAGGAGGACTTTTCTGTGCCCGTGCTGGCACACAGAACTGCCGCACTCAGCACAGGAACTGAGCCTCTTGTCGCCCCAGGGATTGCACGTATCAAGCCCTTGTGAATCAGAAGTGATCTTGCTACACTTGGGCAACCCCCCCTTGTCATGGCCCCTTTTCTTCTTGGTAAAGCCTCAAATGAGAAGCCATGAGAAGCCAAGAGCCAAATGAGTTGGCTCTTCTCTTTCTGCAAGCCCAGAGATAGCTTGTAAATGGTGGTATTGCATCTAGCTCCCAGCAGCGGCAGTCACTCACCCTCTTGTAGGAGGACTGCAGAGCTGAATGCTGGCCTATATTTCCATCTGTCAACAAGGCTGGTGAGTACTGCAGCCTCTTCTTCTCTGGCAGCTGTGGTTTCTACCAGGAAAGGCAGTGGAGCATCCTCCAGAAAGGCTTTGCTTACCACCATGCCCAGTCGCTGTGAACAAGCAAAAATGAGATACCTTCATTGGTTACATCAGTAGTTCAGAAGTCACAACCTATAAATTCTTTTGTGCCAAAGCTCTCATGCTCTCCAAGCAGCCTGCCAGGCATAAGGGCAACTGCTCAATGAGGTTTGTTTGTAGTCAACCAAGTGCTTGCATTTCAGGGGATCCCACCAAATTTCTCTCCTGGTGGTTGTCGAACAGTCAGAGCTTCATCAACACTGTGTGGAGCAGCATGCCCTGCATGAGTTCCCACTCAGCCTGGAGTCTTGCAGGCTTCCCACAGGTCCATATCCACCTCAGAGCCCAGACTTGTGGAGAAGCTCATGGGACACACCATGTAGCTTAGAGAGCAAGATCAAGCCCAGGGCCAGTGTCAGATCCAGTGCCAGGAGCTGCAGCAGTCTTCCTGCATGGCAGCTTAACACAAAAAACATAGAAAATGTTGGGCAGTGATGCTCAGAAATGCCAATAGACTGCTTCAGCTCCTAGTCCCTGTTGTGTCTCTGTTTCCTGCTGCCTTAACCAGGGGCCAGCACCTCCATGGCCATGGCCTGGCATTGCTCTGGGGAAGCCTCTCACAAAGCAATTGGAAGAACAAACGTGTGACTTAGGCACGTACCCTGCAGGGCTGTTACTCTCTACTAGGAGCAGAGCCTGATCCACACCCCAAGCTAGGGCCATCTGCCCTCTCTGATGATGCAGAAAGCAGGTATTGAGTCTCATCTCCGGGAAGGGAATACTAGGAAAACAAGAGATGCTAACCTCTGGAATTGTGGGACCATGAGTCTGGGAGACAGGATGACATCCTGCTTCCAGGGCACAAGGGAAGAGCTGCCATCTGCGAGGATGGTCCCTGAGCTTCCCAGCTCTGCTCTGCCAGTGCTGTGCTCGTCCCCGTGGCTCTCCTCCTCCGGCCAGAGCTGCCACGCAGCTGCCCTGCTCCCGTCTGCCCGCACCTGCAGTGCCACGCTGGCTGGCCAGGCGCCTCCGGCTGCTGTCCCCTGCAGCTCTGAGAAAATAAGCTCTTCCTTGCAGCCAGCGCTCCGCTCAGCCAGGTGTGCCCCCCGGCAGCTCATCTGACTGTGGATCAGCCGGCAAACACCACCGGACTGTTCCGCTGGGGCAGAACCTGAAGAAGGCAGAAGGTTCATTGGCCGGGAGCCTTTTCCTCGCCCCTCCAAGAAGGCTGCAGCCCCCGAAGGGGGCAGAGGGAAGACTTGAGAGGAAGGGACAGCACCAGGCTTGCAGGTTTGAAAGGGCTGCCAGCTCCTCCTGGCCATCCTCACCCAAACGCACGGGCTCTCTTCAGCCCCGCAACAGCCGGTGGGCTCTGGGTTCCAATCGGGTTGCCGTTCACCTCCGCGAGGACCGAGAGGGTTCAAAACCGCCGTCAGCAGCATCAGCAGGTGGATGCAGGGTGCAGAGGATGGCAACTGCCTGAATGCAGCAAAAGGTTCCAACTTAAACAGGGACAGTTCAACAGCACCAATTACCTGCAATCCAGTAAGGAATCTAAGTACTTGTCTGTTCTGTTGAACTGCGCAGCTGGAGATTGCTTTGTTGTGTGAGTAGATGAGGAAACTACTTTCACAGCTATGTAAATGACAGCTCGCAGAGGACAAGGAAGCAGCAGTCAGCCCTGTCCTGAGAGCCCGACAGTTGGGCGAGCAGCCTGCCTCAAGACCCACGTGCTGCTGCCCTGTCAATGCATTCCGATAATTCAAACATTTTACACTAAGCGGAGCGGTGGCGATTTCATCCTCTCTGTGAGGGATTAATTGCTTTTAGACCCACTTAGCTGATCTGTAGTATCTGGCTGAAAGCACATGCTGTGGGGTTACGTTGATGCTTCTTGGCATTTTTTGAGGATGCAGGGGCCTTTAACTCCTCATGTCTTTTGTTTCAGACAGCATCCTAATCCTCATTCCCAAAGCTATGGCTCTTCTCCAGGTAACAGGGAACTCATCCCTCTCTGTCCTCCAGCACAAGGCACTGTATCCACTCCCAGCTGAGCACATCACAGCATCTCCAGGCACACCTGAGGCTTCAGACACTGGGAGCCAGATCCTGATCCCAGTAGGGAACAACTACTGAACAGCTGATTCCATTCCAGGCTATGGTCCAAGCAGGGATATTCTGTGCAGCTCTGCCTAAGCAGACACTACAGGAAACCTGTCCTGGTTTTGGCTGGGATGGAGTTAATTTTCTTCACAGTCTCTCTGTGAAGAGAGACTTCATAACTAATTAATAATCCTGAAAAATAACCATTAAATAGTCACTTTCCCCCAGGCCCAGGCAGTGACCAAGCCCCACCATCAGGCCTCTGGGGAGGAACTGTCATCCCTGAAACTCATCAAGGAGTCTCTGGATATGAGAGAAGAAAAAAGGGTCCAGTAGGGCCCAAGCTTCACACCACACTCAGAGACCTGTGTTCCTGCTGAAGGAACACTGCAGACAGGAAACCAAGAGGAAAGAATCTCCAAAACTTTGGTAGCTTTGGGCTGACATCTGGGTACCATCCAGATTTAAGTAGTGAAAACATTTTGGATGGTGATGGAGGGTTTGTGCAGCTCTCATCAGGTTGTCTGAATGCTGTGGAACTCTGGACCCAGCAATGCACAAAGGATGTTTCAAAGAACTGTAAAAGGTTGAGTCTGTGATTTGGGAGTTGCTGACAGCCTTACATGCTCTTTAAGGAAACAGAGCTTAAAGGAGTGAGGAAGGCATACCTGCAAGAAGGTGCAGGGCAGAGGGGCAGGAACTGGGTGTTACAGAGGACCAGAAAGCACCCCTAGTCTGAGAGGTACACTCAGACTTGGGGTCTCCAGAGCAAAGACTTTACTGCACACAGCTGGAGGCCACCACCTCCTCCTGCTCTGTGCTTTCTTTGGGAGCCTAAAGTGCCTGGATATGCTGAGGAACTCACATGGGGAATCTGGCCACCTCCTGTCTGGGGGCTGTATGTTCATGGCAAGGTCAATTCTGGCACAGAGATGGGCAGCACTTCTGTCAGGTAGGCCTGGGAAACCCAGAAGAGCTGCAGGCAATGCTTGCCAGCACTTTCCAAAAGTGGAGTCATGGCCCACAAACCCTGGCAGACTCCAAAACACAGACAGAAAAGCAAGACTGGAGAGGGTGCCAGTGGGCTTTCTGCATGGCTAACCAAGGACCAGGCTGCAGGAACAGTGCTACAGGACCACCCGGGCATTCAGACACAGCTCTGGTTACACCAGCAAGGGAGGAGAATGGGAATCTAAGAGCAGAAACCACACGACTGACGTCATGCTGTAAAAGGACCAGCAGGTGTGCCAAGAGCAAGAGGCAGCTAAACTGCAGATCCAATTGTGCTTCCCCACTCAGCCAGCTGTGCATCCTGCAAATCCAGCTGTGCTGCCCAACAGATCCAGCTGTCCTTACCTACACAGTCAGCTGTGCCCTCCTGCAGATCTAGCTGTGCCATCCCACAAATCCAGTTGTGTCCTCCTGTCAGATCCAGCTGTGTTATCCAACAGATCTTCTTGTGCTTACCTACACAGACAGCTGTTCCATACTACAGATCCAGCTGTGCCATCCTGCAGATCCAGCTGTGCTGGCTTTCCAGATACTTGGCACCTTCCCAGCATGCACCACATGGGAAAAATGAAGCAAACCTGCTGGCACCACCAGGTATCAATCTGCTCCAACTAGAGGAAAACAAGCAAGCTGGATGTTATGATACATTCTCCGAGATAAATTGGGGTGAACGTAGTCTGACTTTTGGGGGTAGGTTTGCTACTATTGGCTAAGGGCACAATGAAGTTTTGGGGGTACAAAACATTTGCTAACAATAATACATTAGAGTGGGCTTTCCCTCTTACCTGAGGATGCAGTGAGCCTGGGTTTTATAAATTTTTGTTAGTGAAAATCAGCAAGATCGGAGTTTGATGGCTGTTTGTCCTTGGTTTTCAACAGAACAGCATCCATCTCTTTGGTCTCCATTACTAGTTTATTTGAGGAGCTGGACAATCGTGCTTCCTCCTGATTCCATGAGAGCTGAGGACCAGCAAGACTCCTGCATCTCTGCAGATGACAATGCTGTAGAGTCCTCTATGCCTGGAAAGAGAAAGTCTCGATTTGCTGGAAGCCAGCTTGCAGAGAAAAGGGCAACAGGGAGACTAACAGGCCAGCTGAGAGAAGAGAAAGCATACTGCATAATTGGAACAAGGCATTGTGAAAACAGTCCCAAGCTTAATTCTCTTGGATGGGACTTCATGTGGTGCCTAAAAGAACTGGCACTTTATCTCTGCAGACAGAAGAAGCAAGAACTTGTTCTGCCATTGTTCAGCCAATGATTCACTGTTGTTTTTTGTTGTTTTTTTTTTCTTTCCTTCAGTTTTTGAAGAGTGAGCCATCTTCATGGGCACTGCTTTTGGATCAGAAGCAGTTGGCACATCCTCAGGCCATCAGTGCTCCTTGCCCTGCAGCAGGTGCCCGCACGGCCCCGTTCCACTCCTGGAGCTGCACTCAGACCCCCCCACAAGTGCTCACCCAAACCAGCATCAAAGGAACTGCAGTGCCTTTCCCAAGAGAAGCGGTTACAACTGGAGGGCTGTAGTTAGATGTGGCCAAGCTTTTCCATTGTTATTTTACAGTTGCTTGATGTTCTGAAAGATATTTAGAAAAATGACTTTGGCTGTCCTGTGCCAAACTGGGTGAGGGTGAAAAAAAAAGGAATTTGGCAGACATGCTATTCATTCAGCATGTAGTTTGGATGACATCCAGTGACTAACATGGGAGTTTTAACTGATCTGGGAGACTAAAAACCATTCACAAATAATTTGATTTAGGGTCACTGCAATTTCTTTTTATAAATAATTTTCATTGAGAAGTACTTTTTTAATTAGGATCGACAGACTTAATAGCAACTCTATTGTGTGCACAGCTCATCATTCCCATCTTCCTAAATGACTTACAGATGTGGTGTGCTGGTTTCTTGTTCATTGCACACGATGGGGCTTGTTCACGGGGCAAGGAAGGCTCTCAGCACACAAGCCACACTGAGCTGCTCTCCAAAGGCGTGTGCTGAGCAGGATCCATGTGGACAGCAGAGGAAGCTTTTGCCATTGTTTTGCACACTCCAGCTCCTCCACGCCTTTGCACAACTTCAGACACCCCCAAACTGCTGTAATTTCTTTCTGACTGCTCCAGCTCCAAACCTGTAGCAGATGCTTTGTTGATGGCTCTCTTGCTGCAAGCCTCAGCATGGCTCAGGGAGTACTTGAGTTCTGCATAAACCAGAACATGCTGCCTGTTCCATGGTGGGAGTGCTGGGCAAGGACTGCACCCAGGAAGAGACCTGACGTTGCAGCATGAGAGAAGAGCTTTGTTTGGTGTCATACCAAAATTTAATCACCTCCTAATCCAATGGATACTTCCACTGGGCTGAACAGAGCTGGAAAGAAGGAGGAGAATTTGGACAGTGATGGGAAGAAGAGTGGCTCTGCCGCTCAGATGTGTGTTTCTTGGCAACATCATCCGTGTGTGATGGGCTTTTCTTTGACTTGCACAATAACAATCTCATCTCAGCCACTTTCGTTACTAATCTTATCTGTTGTTTGAATGGCTCTTAGATTCCCTCCTGTGATTACAAATGTTCGTACAAGCTCTCAGAATCAGCAGAGTTGTTGTTTTGTGGCTGGATATCAGGCTTGGACTCCAAACTTGGATATGCTCACTGTCCGCATCAGATATGTTCTTAAAAGCCCTCTGAATTGGATTTAGAAACAAAAGGCCCATTGATCTTAAATCTTGAGTCACAGCAGTGACACTGGGAAAACCCTTACCCCTGTCCTTCAGGGTAACCCAAACCGGTGCAATGAAGGATGGCCACAACAGTAACAGAAAGGAGAATTTGTCCAATGGGAGGAAAATTCCAAATGTTTGTCCTATTTAGACTAACAAAAGGGACTGAAGGGATATAATTGCTACTGAGAGACAAGTAGAAGGGGGGAAAATATGAGAAAAAGATGTGAAAGTACAAAGATAAAAGTTGCACAAAAATCAGTAACTGTGAAGTAGCCATTGGTATATTCAAGCTGGGGATTAAAAGATATCGGAAAAAGATATGGGAGCTTTGGGGCAGAAAGGCTTGGAGTGGTTCTCAGCAGAACGGAGAGAAGCTCAAAGTGGAGTTTGCTAAGCATATGGGACATGTTGGTGTGACTGCAGCAGTGAGATACAGCAGCACGCAACCTGCAAGACCCTGCCCACCCTTTGGTCATTACTGCCTGCACAAGGCACAGAGAGAGCCACCAGAGTGCTCTGAGAACTTCTGCAACCAGCAACACAGTGAGGGTGGGCAGAGAGAGTACCCAGCAACATCCCACCTAAGGGGAAATAATGTCTGGCCGTATTCCTGGAATTCAGAGGATCCATTGAGTGTATCCACTCTGGGCATAACAAAGCTGACCCGTGTGTGAGAGCACCAGCCTCTGTTGCTGGCCCTTCTTAAGCAGCATCATTAGAATGAACAGCTCTCACCCTGCGTGGCCAGGGACGGCCACCTACTCCCTACCAGACAGGTTTCACCAAGGGAATGCCATCCCCAGTGATATGGTTACCAGCTTTCCAGCAGTGGTTCAAGCACCACTGGGACAGCTGCTGGTATTAGGCCTCGAGTAAGGATGTTCAACGCTGTTCCTTTTCGGGACAAACGAGCAAAGTGGGACAAAGACCTGCCCTGCTACAGCAGGACGGTTCTCGCTGTCCCGCGGCGACCTCGGGGCAGCCGTGTGGGAGACAGCACCCATCGTCAAGGGCAGCCCCATTCACACAGACTCCTCCTGCGAGCCCGCAGCCCTTTGACAGCCGGGACCGGAGGATGCTCACTCACCTTCAGCCGCCCCCCAGTTCGGTCCCGCCCCGCCCCCTTGCGCTCCTCCGGCCTCCTCCTACCTGAGCCGTTCGGCAGCGGAGCCGAGCGGCCGTGCGGGGCCGTGCAGCGGGCTGCTCCGCGGTTCCCGTGCCGCCGGGACGAGCACGCAGCAGTCCCCGGCCCGGCCGCACTCCCCGGCGCCGTGGCGGGCCCTCGTGGCTTTGCCCCGCCGTGGTGGTGGTGTGGTGCTTCCTTGTTGGCTCCGGTGCCAGGAATGCAGTATGAATTTATTTAGCAGTCCTTAATAAATACATGTCAATATATGTCCCCGTGTACCCCTCGGCCCCCTACGGGCTCCGGGACCGGGAAGTCCTCGGGAAGCTCAGATCTCCTCCCGGCCACTTAGCCCCGCGCCCGGTGCCCGGTGCCGCGCGTTGCCCCACGCCGATAGCCCTCGATGCTTCCGGACAACTGTCGGCTCGATGCCGAGGCCCTGCAGCTTCCAACGGCCCCTGACCCCGGGATTTCCCTGCGCAGCCCGGCGGAGCTTCCTGGCCCTACCGGCAGCCCCGGGACACACGGTGGAACGGCACCGGGCCCTCTCCCGGCGCGGAGATGTCCGTGCCCCCGCTGTCGGGAGCCGCCCTATCGGGCCGGGCTCCGCCAGGAGCCGCTGAGCGGCAGAACGCGAGCGGAGCCCCGGCACCCGCTTGGTCACAAACCGTTTCGCTCTCCGATGACCGCGTGCCCGATGGGGCGGGGAGGGGGAGCCACGGTACCGAGGTACCGGTCCGGCGCGGCCCGGCGGTCCGGCGCGGGTTCAGAGTCGAGATTTTGTTTTCCGCATTTCCCCGCCCGCCGGAGGCCAGCTCTGAGCCTCCCGGTACCCCCCGCTCCCGGAGCGCCGGCCCCGTCCCGCCCGGGGTTCAGCCCCCACCATCCCCGGGACTCAATGCGGCCCCGCGAGCCGCAGCTGTTCGGTCCTGCCGGGTTCCGGCGCCGCCGCCGCGGGGGGAAGGAGCATCGGGAGCGCTCGTGGCGAGAAAACGAATTTCCATGGGAAGACGCGAAGCGCTTCGCGCGCAGCGGGGTTCCGCTCGCCCGATGAGCTCCGCTCCACGGGCCGGGAGCCCGAAGAACGGCCGTCCCGTTCCGCTCGGGGTGACTGAGGGGCGGTTTCCGTGTCTCGGCCCCGGCGAGGGGCGGCCGTCTGGTTCCCTCCACGTGGACTCGTCCTTTCGATGTTTTCCGAAAAAAGACTCCTCGCGGCCGCCCGAAACATCGAAACTGCGATTCTTCGTGGGAAAGAAACAGATGGCAGCGCCCGGGACGGGAGCGGGGCCCGGCTGCGGACGTGCGCGAAGCCACGGCCGTGCCCGCCCGCTCCGCCGCCCGTTGGGGCCGGGGGCCGCTGCAGTCGCGTGTTCCCTTCGGCTGTCGCTCCACGCAGACTGCGGGAGCGGCGGCCCCGAGCAGCCGTGCGGGGCGGGCGGGGACCGCGCCGGAGGGGGCCGGAGCCGCGCGTCCCTCTCCAGCCTGCCCGCGACGGGCCGGCAGCGGGCTGCCAGCGGGGACTTGGGGAGCCGCCGAGGCTGGCGGGAGGGCAACGGGGTCGGGAGCGGATGAGAGGTCCGCCCGGAGGGCGGCGCGGTACGGTACAGCACGGCACGGCGCGGAACAGCACGGCGCGGCGCGGTACAGCACAGCGCGGCGCGGCACAGCACGGCGCGGCCGGGCACGG